GTAGCTGTTATAAAAATTTGATTAACAAAACTAAAATAATTTTCCCGGGTCAAATTATTTTAAAAAGATTTGATATACATAAACGCTTGTTAACAAAAATTTCTACAAACATTATTCCATTGCCTATACATACGCCATTTTATATATTTAATTTCGTCATGCGCGTTGTTTGTTTTTACATTTGTCGACTACACGGTATAATAGGTTCAGTTAGGATGATAGTCCGAACAATGTAAATAGTATATATATATATATATATATATATATATATATATACTATTTGCATATATAATATGATAATGATATATATATATATATATATATATATATATATATATATATATATATATATATATATATATAGGTCATCCCATAAGTTATGTCCGAATTTTGAATAAAGAAAACAAGTGACCAAATGTTACATTTAATTACAGATTCAATCAACAATTTATTTTCCCTGATTATCTATGACTTCCTTCCATCTATTAACAAGCTTACTAATTCTATTACTGTAAAATTCTTTTTGCTTTGATTTAAAGAACTCACAAATGTCAGTTTTAACCTATTCCTGTGTTACAAAAGCTGTTTCTTCCAAATGATTCTGTAAGCTACACAACAAATTGTAGTCTGAAGGAGCAAAATCGGGAGAATAAGGTGGATGAGGAATTTTCTCCCAACCAAGTTCTTCGATCTATTGTGACGTGATTCTTGCTGTGTGGGGTCGCGCATTGTCCTGATGAAACATCACCCCTTTTCGATTCGCTAGACCAGGTCTTTTTTCCTTAAAGCTTGGTTCAAACACTCTAATTGCTGACAGTATATTTGAGCATTAATTGTTACATTAGGTGGTAAGAATTCAAAGTGGATTATTCCTTGGCGATCCCACCAGATTGAAAAAAGAACCTTTTGCCCATGAAGTTCCCTTCTTGGCTGTGGCTGGGGTCCTTCCCCTTTACCAAGCCACTGTCTAAGACGCTTACCATTTCGATAAAAGATCCATTTTTCGTCGCCAGTCACAAGTCTATCCAAAAAAGGTGAAACAAGTTGGTGAGAATGGAGAGAAGAGCAGATGTCAACTCGGGATTTGAGGTTGTTTTCAGACAATTCATGAGGCACCCATTTTCCAAGTTTAGGAAATTTTCCAAGTTTTTGAAGATGACGATGAACAGTTGTATGGTTTGAACTGAGAACCACTGCCAATTCCTCATTTGATAAAGCAGAATTTTCTTCAAGGGCTGCTTCAAGAAGCCTTTCATCAAACTCAACTGGACGTCCGGTTCGATCTTCATCTTCAAGGGTGAAATCTCCACCTCTGAATTTTGCAAACCATCTTCTGCAAGTTCTTTCATTCACACATTCCTCTCCATAAGCTGAGTGAATGTTTCTAGCCACTTCGGCTGCTGAGTTTCATTTCTTGAACTCATAAAGCATTATGTGCCTCAAATGATTCTTGGGTACTTCCATGTTAGCAGAGTTTTAATCAAACAAAATTTAATTTTATTGTTCTCTAAAATAAAATTGGATCTGTTTAAATGCATCTAAACATAAAAATAATGTTCAGCTCCATTAGACATTATAAAATACTCTTTAAATTTCGTTCATTTTAACAAAAAGTTAAAAATCGGACAGAACTTATGGGATGACCTGATATATATATATATATATATATATATATATATATATATATATATATCATATTATATATGTAAATAGTATATATATATTTACCTACCATACCGTTTAGTCGACAAAATAAAAAACAAACAACGCACATGCGAGAAATTATATATATAAAAAAGGAGTCTGTGTAGTCAATGGAATAATGTTTGTGGAAATAATAATAATGTTATTAACCTTATCAGACGTTATGTATGAATGAAAAATGCTGCCTAAATACACACAATATATATATATATATATATATATATATATATATATATATATATATATATAGTGATTTTCTAAGCCCGGCTTAGATGTGGCACAAAGGCCGAAAGTATGGGGCACCCAGTGAGAATCGCACTCACTGTGTGCCCCTATATATATATATATATATATATATATATATATATCTTACTTATTATAAAACGCAGGTTGTGTGCGTGTGTGTGTGTGTGTGTCTGTAACGTTTATATGTTGGATTGAATTTCCTACATTTTTTAGCCGATTTCAACAAAACTTCACAGGACTACATAAAATTACCTTGTGGTGGTTCTAACGGGATCGAAAATGGGAAAAACATAGTTGAAAACTTTGAAAACACGATTAAGACACAACGTGAGAATGAAAGGGTGACAACTCACCCACGAAAATGTAAAAAAGAGCATAGCATGATGAAAAAGACGCTGAACTTGACGAAAACAAAATTTTATCGTCTAATGTTCCTATTATTATTAAAGAGGAAAGATCAAAGTATTTTGGGGGTATTTTTTTTTACATTTTTTAATCGTTCCTAGCACCTCTGAAATTTTCGTTAAAAATAGTTTTTTTGGTCAAAAAAAAGGACAGAATCATTTTCAATCATTTTTTCGATTTGATAAAAAGATTAAAATCTTACTTTGATATTCTTTTAAAAATCAATTATCATTTTTTCAAAACTGATTTTAATAAAAACAGAAATTATACTGTTTATTTAAAAATTTTGAACCAAGCTTAACTTAGCTTCTGCGCCGAAAAAAATGTAATTTGAAAATAAAACAAAGCAGGTCATAACCTTTCGCGTCGCTTGACGATTGACGAAAGGCACATTCATGACGTTTAGATAACTTACGGGATGAGAATTCGTTCTACGGATGGAAGGAAGTGAAATTATTTAAGTGAACAAATTATTTACCTTGTTACTTTTAAGGAAAACTTTCAGCGCTCTAATTTTTTTTTTTTTTTTTTTTTTTTTTTTTTTGTACTTAACTTTCATTTTTACGTTTACGATGGTTTATGGAAAATATAAAGAAATTAAAAATAAGACTGTTAATAGTGAGATTAAATTTCATAAGAAAAGGTATCTAATTAATTTAGGTACCTTTCTTATGAAATTTTATCAGAAGTGTACATAAAATACTATAATTTTATGTACATTTATTACATTTTACTGTGTTATTTGTATTTACATTCATTTTATTATTAATTTTGATATTTCATTTATGGAAAAATGCCATAACTGAGATTAATATAAAAAATAAGATCATATAAATTAAAGTTTAGCAGTAGTTAAATTTCATAAGATGATACTGTTACTTGTAGGTACCCTTCTCAGTTGAAATTGAAAACTCAAATTAACTTCTCCATACGTGTTCCGCAAAAGTAAAGGGCTTAACAGCGGAGAACAATGCTGAACTCAAATAATGCAACTAAATTGTATTCTGGTTGGTCTTCCGTACTTGATAATTACTGTCCGACTATAAACACAAAAAAATTACATTTCTTAATTACCATGGCTAATCTGATTGGTTCAAATTATACAATTTTCAAAGCGCTAGACAATGACAATCTCACACGGACATTTTGAAAGGTTGATGTTGTTTTTAAGTTTTAACTAATGTTAAAATATTTTTTTAAATTCAATTTAAACATTTTTTTTAAAATCTTTTTTAAAATTAAAGAAATAAGAAATAATTGTATTAAAAATTCAATTTTCATTGAAAAAATTTTTTGCTTTCAGAAAATATTGTCCATATTCATAAAAACAAATTAAAACAAATAAAAGCATTTGAAACTAAATAATATATTTGTTTTATTGAGTTTTACTTTTGTATGTTACAATTCACAGCTGATTTTCAGGTACGTTGGCCAAAAAAACAAAAAAAACATGATTTGCATTCTTCAAAGCCTTGTGCTTTTAACTATTGTAATCACTAAAACCGATGGTCTCGAATTTCTAGAGTTTTTCATAAAATTAGTTATGGGGGTGTTAATAAATATAAAAAAAATATTTCTGCCATGACTTTAATAAAAAAAAAAATATTTATAATAATTTCGATCATCTGTGAATAGTTTATGAAAGTTTCATTAACATCTGACAATTATTTTTATTTTTGTAAGATTTTCCAAATTAATGTGTGTAAATACAAAAAAACGCGCTAAAAATTATCTGTTATTTACTACCCCTTGTTGCGACAAAGAGAAACAAGGTTTTTTAAATCAAAATTTAGAATATTCTAAAAAGATGGAAAAAATTTTAAAAAATAATTAAAAAAAATTTAGTCTATCCTCTTCATAAAAACATAAGCATTTTGACGATAAAATTTTGTTTTCATAAACTTTGGCGTCTTTTTCATCAGACTATGCTCTATGTTTTAGCGATTCCGTGGAGTGACTTAGGTTAAAAAACCCAGGTTGTGTGTGTGTGTGTGTGTGTGTGTGTTCCTTTATATATGGGATCGGATTTCTTACATTTTTCAGCCGATAAAACAAACATCCACTTTTTTTTTCAGCAGGTAGTATTTCTTATTGTCTTGCACACTTTTTTTTTTTATTTACATTCAGAATGCTTTAAAAATTCCATTTACAAGACAATTGTTTATAATAAAATTCTATTCACCAATCGATAGACTCATAACGATTGTAAACAATGTTTTTGTTTGAATTTGGGTTTGACCAATTCGTAAAAAAAAAAAATAATTAAGACATGCGTGTCCGTCAACCTTAAACAATAATCTTTGTCAATTTTATTTTTCAGTCTTTATGATGGTCGATACTTGATCTATCTCTTACTGTTACATCCCCGGGAAACGCCGGGCTCTACTGCTAGTATATATATATATATATATATATATATATATGCTATTTACATTGTTCGGACTATCATCCTTATCTTTGTTGCCATATTTATCACATAGAAAGATGTTCTACATTCTGTTGAGGAGGAAATAACGAAGAAAAGATGTTATGTGCTTTTTTCCATTTAACATCTTATCCAATGGTAAGCTCTCTCTCTCTCTCTCTCTCTCTCTCTCTCTCTCTCTCTCTCTCTCTCTCTCTATCTATCTATCCCTCCTTCCCACTCTCTCTCCCTCTCTCTCCCTCCAGATAGATAATGAACAGACTGATAGATAGATAGATAGATAGATAGATAGATAGATAGATAGATAGATAGATAGATAGGTTCTGGACGATGCTTAGTAAGCTTGCTCAGCGAATTTAATAAATCTGATCTTCTATGAATGAAACAATTCATCTTCATATTTTGTCCAAATTCAACTCTTTCAGCTCAGACGACACACCGTATAGTATGATGTCAGCTAGAATAACCGAGTAAATATATCCTGGATTTTTGTTGCTTGTTCCAACGACGGCAGGATTCATTCAACTCGAGAAATATGTTTACGTCACTCGAATTTTTGAGTTGCAGTTTATTTAATGTCATGTATATTTTTATTTCCTTTATAGTCTCGTTCCCCACCCCCGCCCTCACAATGTTTATTATATTTTAATATATATATAGCCTGCAAGCGTAAGAAGCTTCAACGTCCCTGGAGGCAGTCGGAAGGGGGCTTGTGAAAGCATGTGGGATAATTGGAAAATTTTGTGTTACATATTTGAAACAAGCGTTTACATTTATCCTAAGCATTTACATTTGTCGACATAATAATTGATGTCATCCAATGAAATTAGTGCTGATTTGCCGAGGAATTCACACGGGGAAGAATTTATTCGGTAAACATATCTTGGGGCTAATGGAGCAGAATAGCTGCGGAACGAATTTAGGCTAAGGCTTAAAAAACAAGAAAGTAAACCGGAAGACATATTTGGAGACGTGTTTGTGGCTGCTTGAATGTTGTGTGAACTTGAAAAAGGATTTCGGTACGAATGATTGTATTGAATCGAACATTGGCTCATAATGCTAATTAAAATAAAAGATGTTCTACATTCTGTTGAGGAGGAAATAGCGAAGGAAAGATGTTATGTAAGTGCTTTTTCCATTTAACATCTTATCCAATGGTAAGCTCTCTCTCTATCTATCTATCCCTCCTTCCCACTCTCTCTCCCTCTCTCTCTCTCTCTCTCTCTCTCTCTCTCTCTCTCTCTCTCTCCAGATAAATAATGAACAGACGCAGATAGATAGATAGATAGATACATACATACATACATACATATGAATAACCATAGGTAGACATGAACGGACAGAGATAGATAGATAGATAGATAGATAGATAGATAGATAGATAGATAGGAACAGACTGAGATAGATAGATAGGAACAGACTGAGATAGATAGATAGATAGATAGATAGATAGATAGATAGATAGATAGATAGATAGATAGATGTTAACGGACAGAGACATATAGATAGATAGATACATACATATGAATAACCATAGGTAGACATGAACGGACAGAGATAGATAGATAGATAGATAGATAGATAGATAGATAGATAGATAGATGAGATAGATAGATAGATAGATAGATAGATAGGAACAGACTGAGATAGATAGATAGATAGATAGATAGATAGATAGATGTTAACGGACAGAGTTTTGAAATTTACTCGCACCAGAATAAAAGAAGATATTCCCGATGGGCTAAGATCGTGTCAAATAGACAAGCAGGCAATAGAAAGGGGGATTTCAACACAACGCTGTTAAAACCCTTATTGAAAACAACATCAGTAGACGGGCGCTGTATAGAAGACCCCCAAAATTTCCCCAAGACTGCTTGGAGTAGGAACACAAGCAGAAATCTTACAGTGTGGGATCATTTACACGAAGCAAAGGATGCCTTTCCGGAGATCCGTATAGTGGAAATGGGAACTCCGGACCTTAAAAAGATAGAATAATATTGTGCGGGGAGGGTCCCAGTAATCCTCCATCCTCCATTAAATCGGGCCCTAAAACTGACCTATTCCGTGGACGTCGGCGGCATTGTCCTAGATGGTCGCATGACGACAGAGATGGGGAGAGGGAACCTGGTACAATACGTCGGGCTCCTTTCATTCGCAGATTTCCGTCTAGTCTGAAAAATGTCTCTCAGTATAGTTTGATTGCAAGGGTCTTGAGGGATCGGAGTAAGGCTGCCCGACTGCTTTGTGATCTCCTGTCCTTTGGCGGAAATATAGCTGCGATCCAAGAAACGCACTTTGTTTGCGAGGTTGATGATTGTGTGCTGTCTAGCGACTATGTTGTCTATTCAGCATTCGGGAACCAGCCGGACAGAGCTGTTTTGTTGCTGGTTAAACGTACCCTGGATGCAAAGATGGACATTGTCCATGTCGAAGCCAGGAGGCGGTTGATCGTGGCCGACATTGCAGAGAACAGTAGTTCGTTTCTGGTCGTTGCGGTTTATGCGCCCAACGATCAGAGGGGAGCGTGTCTCGTTTTTCCGGCAGTTGGGGCCGTTCCTGGTTGATTCTTCGCGCTTAGTCTTAGTGGAGGATTGATGCTATCTTGGACCCCAGGGTAGACAGTGGGGAGCTAGCGGGAGATCATTGGGTGATGTGATCTTCGCCTAGTTGATCTGATCGGTGAGTTTGGTCTCGCCGATAGATACCGGCTCAATCACCCTGTAAGTGGGCGTCTACCCATGTAGCCAGCTACCTGGATAGAATGTTAGTTAGACGGTCCGATATTACGCTATTCGGACTATAGACTTGTCGGTTCCCGGATAGCGTTAGATGCTAGGCCTAGAATGGGTGGACACTGGAAGTTCAAGCTGCCTTTACTAGACAGGCGGGATTTCCAGTAACAGCTAATTAGACTAGTGCAGCGGGAACTAGTGGGGTGGTTATTGGTAATAGGCGGTGGGAGAGGTTTAAAAATAGGATTATTCCTTCAACACCGAATATAACCAGTGGCTCACATTAAATAAGGCTAAAATTGTAAAGACACTTAAAGATAGCCTGTCGCGGACTGAGGCTGCGGGTGGGACACCCTAGAGATAGGTTTAGCTAGGCAGGCTCTGAAGCGCGCGGAGGGCGAGCGCTATCAGGGTCAGGTAGATATAGGTTAAACAATGTGTCTAAGACATGAAGAATATTTACCAAGGAGCTTGGTCTCAGTGTCAATAAGTTTTGCAGCTATTTGGCTGACTTTCCTCGACTTAAGCGGCTAGCTGCGAGGGTGAGATCACGGAAGGCGAAGTCTACTTGGCATTGAAGAAGGTCGACAGTGGCAAGTCTCCGGGATTTGATGATTTGCTCTATGAATTCGACTTGAGGCTGTCGCACATCTTTGTGCCGATTTTAACTGTCGTGTTCAACAACTGGTTCCGGCAGGAGTCCATCACCAATCGGATCACTAGGAGTGTGCTCACGCTGTTGAAAAAGGGCAAGGATGGTGGACGGGATTTAGATGATTACAGACCCGTAAATATGTAAAACACAGAGTTAAAGATTTTGGCCAAGATCCTGACGGAGTGTTTGCAGTCAGTTGCTGAGATTCTGTTGGGACCTGAGCTGATTTGTGGTGGAAAGGCCGAATAATTCAGAGCAACCTGCATCTGATCCGCACGATCCAAGAGAGTGTAAAAGACGACGAGCAAGTCCAAGACATTTGATAGGGTCGACCATCGGGGTATCTGGCTGTTGTCCTGCAGGCCCCCGGATTCAAACCCGACTTCCCTGGCTGAGGGACAAGGCGAGCAGTTCGGCCCTCCGTGCAATCGCTGTCCCTGCTGAGGCTCGAGCCACGGTTTCCACGTACGCCGATGACATATCCATTTTCATGTCGTGCCGCAGCGACATTAAGGTGGTACAGAAGACGCTTGAACGGTACAAAAAGGTCACAGGGGCCAAGATTAACCGTAACGTCTTTTGGCTTGTGTTTAGGTGCCTGGAAGGGGGGGCTCTCTCCCGAGGCTCTTTGATTGGATGAATGGTCCTGATCGCATTCTTGGAATGGGGTTTGAACCCGATCTCCAGCTGGAGAAATATTGGTCAGAAGTACTGGCAAAGGTCGGAGCGTCGGTCTGTACTTAGCTCTGAAGGAAGTTGTCCTTAATTACCTGCCGATTGATTCAAAACGTGCTATCTCTCTTTGACATGACCTTCAGATGGGGCTTGGTGGATTTGCCCGACTGTTACCGATGTGACATTTGTTTAGAAGAAACAGCTTCGCACGCCTTCTAACATTGTCCCCAGGTACGCCCTATCTGGGACTATGTCGGCAAGTTGGCGGCACGTACTGCTCCTGATCAACCCGTGCTCATCGATCTTGCATACGCGTGCGACAATGCGTCACCTCCTTATTCTGGGGTGAAACGAATGGTGTTTCTAACGTTGCTAGCCGTAGCAAGAATGGTAATCTGGATGACAGGAAAGGAGGAAATCTTGCGACACTTGAAAGGTGGGTGACAGGCTGTTTCATGCTAGATGCAATCGTCAGGCCACATGAAACAGCCTGTCGCCTCTAAGTGTTGCCTTGTATGTCCACTTTTATATTTACATACGCTCTATCTCTGATATTGAGCACTTTATCCCATAAATATAACATACCTTAAGACTATATTTCTTCATATATATAGGCGCAATTATCAGGAAGGTCGATCAACGATTGCGTCAAGCATGAAACAGCCTGTCGCCTCTAAGTGTTGACTTTTATGTTCACTTTTATATTTACACAAGCTCTATCTCCTATATTTTTATATATATATATATATATATATATATATATATATATATATATATATATATATATATATATATATATATATACACAAGTGGATACTGAGATCAACACCAAGCGGTAGCAGTGTGCTTCACGAAAGAACGAAAATTTCTGGCCTTGGAGATTGTGTTCAGTAATAAGAAAGGACTGCCGACGCTCGGGGTTGAGCTCAGGGTCATATAAATATAACACACCTTAAGACTATATATTTTCATATATATATATATATATATATATATATATATATATATATATATATATATATATATATATGGCGCGTGGCCGATTGGTTATAACGTTCAGTCTCTGACAATCCGAATCTCACGATGGCCGATCATGGCAGACGACTCGGCCGATCAGTCGGCCCGATAATACAAGTCCTCCGATTAGCTGACTGGTCATCGTACCAGCCAATCAGAATGCTGCTCGCATTTCTTGCATATCTGGGCTTTTCAATGGCGGTTTATATGATAGTTTATTGTGTTCTGTGATTTTATATCGATATTTTTTCGTGTGTATAAGGGAATGTTAAAAGGGTTCCCTCTTCTTGGCACTGAAACTCCAAATGAGGCTCCGTCTTCAAATGGTTAAAAAGGATTAGACTGAGAGTGATGAAAAAAAAAACACTGCCAATAAAATCAATGAGGGTCCAGTTCGTAAGAAGCTAACTTCAAACAATCTGTTTTCTGTGTGATTCAATAATGGTTATGTATAATATATAACGACGGTTTAAGGCTCAGTTGAAGACATTCCTGACACACGCCAACTTCGACGCTGAGACCTGTTGCTGGAAATCGGCTTTTCTGCTGAAGAACCATCTGAGGAGATGGGGGCGAAACTTTCGAGTCAGACTGTCAACCTGAAGATGATCTGCGTCGGATGTATCAGGAGACCCTGACACACCCGACCGCGTCCCACACTCCTCTGTGATTCCTGCTCACGAATCTTCAGGAGTAGGCTAGGCCTTCAAAGTCATTTCTCCTAACGCCACCAGAGGGGACTAAGGGAATGAGGTGATTTTCCAGATACAGTTCCTACTATTTAACCCATAGCAGATAAGAGGAGATGGATTCATAATTTTCCCAAGGATATTTGCGCAGAGGTGAATGTAACGAGGAAATAATTTGGGAGTAATGATCCTTAAAAAACGTTAATACTTCTGATACAGCCGAATAAATCGATGTGCATGAATCAGTCATGAATTTTGGAGTTCTTTTTTTTATTATTTCACGCTAAACAAGGCAATAATGCCACTAAGACGCAAGGGGGTCACTGAGTATGAAATATTATAAAAAAAGAATAACATTATTAAGGAGAAAGAACAATAAAAGAATAGGAATATATATTGCACTTAAACTTTTGAAGATTAAAGTTGGCTGGGAAGCAAGAAGCCGGAAGAGAGTTCCACTGTTAGCATAGGACTTACGTTTACATCTAGTCATTTAATTGTAAAATGATTCATTGCTTTATTCTGTTGTCTGCTTTGATATCAAAATCCACGAGATGACACATTTTATTTCTTTTCCTTGTTTGCAACAAGACCCAGGAGTACCGAGGTTTTTCATAATCACTTCACCCCAAGAAAGGCAATAAAGCTACTAAGACAGAAAGGGGTTACTGAGTGTTAGATAATATGTGAAAAAACATTATTAAGGAGAAAGAACAATAAAATAAATTGAATTTTTGAAGATCAAAGTAAACTGGAAAGCAAGAAGAAACTGTTAGCATAGAACTTACGGCTACATCTAGACATTTCAATTGTAAAATATTAAGCCCTATCTGTAAAAGAGTGTATAGAAATGCCGAAAACATGAAATATATCGTAGCTAGGTAGGTAGATCGGTTGGTAGGTAAGATGAGATAAACGTTTTAATCTATAAGTTAATTTAATGCTTTGTTTGTTAAGTAAAATCTGTGACATTCGTATACCAAATAAGAATTTAGGATTTTGGGATATATGGTGATTTAAATTTGAGCTTATGAACAATGACATTGGCATTAAATAGATGTATTACTCACGCCATTTAGGTAGGTGTAAAATCTAAGATAGCTGTAAGCGAAATATATCTCTTCTTCTTCAGCCTCTACTTGCCACTTCACTCTGACTATCCTCGCCAAACGCGTGAGATTCCAGAAACCCTCGCGGTATGTCAGAGTTTACCAACACTCTCACATTTCTACTTCTGAGTTTTAAATAATTAAAAATAATTTCCAATTGAACCAAGCCAGAAGATATCAGAAGAAGGTTGTTTTTTTTTTTGGCACTAAGAATAAAAATAACATATGAAATACCCAGTGTTACTTGGGCTTTTCATTTTTTTTTTTTTTTAAGTTGGGGGCAAACGTACTTTTGAAATGAACTAGATTGATTATAGTAAAAAGTGACTACGATTTACGTGTTTTCATTTTAAAGTCGCAAGTTCTAACTTTCAAAAAACAAAAAAGACAGGACTTGCTCTGTCTATATTTCTGAGATGAGGTATTATGTACATTATTTACATTATTCGGACTATTGTCCTCATCTTTGCTGCCATATTTATTACAACGTTTCGGCCCTTCAGTATCTGTCTATATTTCTGAGATGAGGTATTATGTACACTATTTACATTATTCGGACTATTGTCCTCATCTTTGCTGCAATATTTATTACAACGTTTCAGCCCTTCAGTATCTGTCTATATTTCTGAGATGAGCTATTATGTACATTATTTACATTATTCGGACTATTGTCCTCATCTCTGTCGCCATATTTATCACAACGTTTCGGGGTTACAACGGAGCGTACCACGGTCGAAACGTTGTGATAAATATGGCGACAGAGATGAGGACAATAGTCCGAATAATGTAAATAATGTACAGGACTTGCTATTCTCTGTGATGTTTTGCTTCTTCTGTGCCGTATCCCTTGAGGACATGGCTGATCATAGCTCTCCGCATTACCTTATTCTTTGTAGCACTTTTTTAAGCATTTCACCAAAAGCAAGACTGGAAGCCACTAGCACGCAAGGGGTTACAGAGGATTTGGAGCGAGAGCAGATAGGAGTGATCGAGGAAAGGATGAGGAGAAGGATAGTGGATAGATCAACTGCCAATTTGACCTTTTCGAACCGATCAGTGTTTGCATTAAGATAGGAATAAGTAGTTGTGTCATCAGCATTGATACTGTTTTGAGAACCGATAACATCGGGAAGATCGGTGATAATAACTAGGAACAGCGTAGGTTCACTGATAGAACCTTGAAGTATAGCTGCATTAATGTCAAAAGATCTAGATGATTGGCCATTCAAGAAACCTATACATAGAATCAGAAGGTGACAGTTGAAATTGGTGGAGAACGTAATGAGGAAAGATGGCCTGGAGAATTTGATACAGAATGAAGGGGTACCACATAATATATCTAAATAATTGACAGAACATGGATTAGGAGAGATAGCAAAACACAGCCCTTACTGTCACACAGCCCTTACTGTAACACAGACCTTACTGTAACACAGACCTTACTTTCGCTGGTTCCCAGACTTCATGAATTCAAGCGTCCTACGAGGCTGGCATCCCGCTATCACCATTTCACTGTTAAAACTGTTAAATGTAGCCGTCTCTTCTACTCTAATGGCTTCACATCTCGCACCTCTCGCCTGTGGAACTCCCTTCCTTTTTCCTGTTTCCCTGATTGCTATAATCTTCAACTATTCAAATGTAATGTCAATCGACATCTTTTCCGGTGAACGAAATAAAGAGCCACAAGCCCACAAACCTCCTAACCTACACACCTTTTTTTTTCGTAAAAGAAGTTATATTTTGCTTTTAAATTTAAATAAATCATTCACACGCCAGTAATTTACAATCGCCTGATGAGATGCATTTGATACTCATCAAAACAGTACTGCAATTGTGTAGCGATTTTGAAATGTGTTGGATGTAACATCCTAATATATATATATATATATAAAGGCACAAAATGCTTGTATGGAGGTCCACGAGCGTTTAGATTGATAGACCCTTACCCTTCTACCATTTAGGAGAAGCATACCTCTGGTGTCACACCCGCCTCAGTGCTCATCCGGGTATCTAGCATCTGCTTGTCTTTATTGGTGTGAGTCGTTGCGCTGTTGAGCGTGCCAAACACGGCGATGCTCTCAATACGGCCGTTGATGACAACTTAACTTTTATTGGAGGAGGGGGATTTTGCTTTTATTTACGGGTGTTGTAATTAATAACGACGCGGAATGAGAACTCGGTATGTTATATTCACTTACGCGCATTGAACCTTGGAGAATCTATGAATCCTTCTATTGTGTGGTAGAGCTATGTTTGGAAACCAGTTTAGGAGAAGGAGAACTCAGTATTTAAATCGATATCTTGGCCATTGACGTTCTCACAAGAATGAAAGTCAAACCTTAATCACGTCAGCGAATTGATAACCATTATATATATATATATATATGTGTGTGTGTGTGTGTATATATATATATATACTTTTTTTCGCATTTTACAGTGTTTATGCTCGCACATTTTCCGAACTTACATCAATTCTTTGTCTTCACTCCTGAAGATGAAATTTGATGAGATTGTAAGTCCTTGAGAAAATAAAGACCATATGGATATTTACGATGATGATGATATTATGCTATGTCGAAAGTACGGAATAAATGCTATATGAGCCAACACGGTGTTCTCTCGTCTTTTAACAACCGCACGAAAAAGCTTATTTGCGAATGTGAAAGGATATTATCGAAAATAAATGGACAGAACGTGTCTAAATTATTTAACGAAACCTGTCTGAATATATATATATTTGTTTGTTTGTTCGTGTGTGTGTGTGTGTGTGTGTGTGTGTGTGTGTGGCGTGGGTATATATGTATAAGTTGTATTTAGTCAGCAAAAATTCTTTTAAATAAGTTTTGTTAAACAATACCGACAAGTCCAATTTTTTATAAAGTTTTTCCAAATTCCGACTGAATTGCATTTTTTTATGTCAGAATTAATATATATCCGTACATATATATATATATATATATATATATATATATATATATATATATATATATATATATATATGTGTGTGTGTGTGTATATATATATATATATATATATATATATATATATATATATATATATATATATATATATATATATGTGTGTGTGTGTGTGTGTGTGTGTGTGTGTGTGTGCGTGTTTT